CAAGAGCGGCGTGGGAGGTGCCAGCGTTGGCAGCCAACAGCAGTGCGGTCGCGACCACAACACAAGCGAGCCACGACGAGCGCGCAGACGAACGAACGGCTGTCTTTGTTGACGCTTTGTTCTTGGGAAAGGAACAACAAACAATGGCGGGTGGTTTGTTGTGTGTTGTTGGACACGCGGTGGGTCGTGCATGCCACGCATGTGCGTGCAGGTGCGCGATCGACAACAACATTGGCTGGTGCTTGCAAGCAAAATGTACACAAGTTTTTCTGCTGCGTGGCGGAATGCGCTAGCTGTGCACTATCTTGGAAGTCTTCCAACAAACGTCTTTGAAAACGAAAACGGCACTAAACACGCATCACGGACAAACGCAAAACATGACGCGCAAGAAGCACGTTTGTGACCTGCACGCAGCCCAGCAATGCACGGGAACATGCGTTCTGCCAATCTGTAAGCCTTGACGTCGTTGTGTGGTGGTGGTGGTGGTCAATCGGTTGTTGCTTGCTCTTGTGATTCTGCCGTTGTGTGCCGATGTGACTGAGTGGATGGTGGCCTCTCACATCGGCATGCGTCGTGTCACGATAATGTTGCATTTGCTTCGGCACACTGGTGTAGTGGCAGAGCTGGTGCTTGTCGCAGGCGTGTCACTGGCCTTGTACTGGCCAAGCACCGCATATGAGTTCACCTTTGATGATGCACGTGGTGTTGTGGAGAATCCGGACTTGAAGTCATCAACCCCATGGACGACCCTCTTCTTCCACGACTTCTGGGGGTGTGTGTGTGTGCGTGTGTGCGTGTGCGTGCGTGTTTGCGTGTGCGTGCGTGTTTGCGTGTGCGTGCGTGTGTGCGTGTGCGTGTGCGTGTGCGTGCGTGTGTGCGTGTGCGTGCGTGTGCGTGCGTGTGCGTGCGTGTGCGTGCGTGTGCGTGCGTGTGCGTGCGTGTGCGTGTGCGTGCATGTGCGTGCGTGGTGCGTGCGTGTGCGTGTGTGCGTGTGTAGTCTACTGGTCGATCATTCTTCACCTCATTCCCCACATGGTTGACAGGAACGGGATGGACGACCCACGCAGCCACAAGTCATATCGCCCCGTCACCGTGCTTTTTTACAAGGCAATCGTCACGCTGTCTGGCGGTGCACGTGATCCGTATGGCTTTCACCTGGCTGGCGTTGTGTTGAACGCTCTGGTGTGTGCCCTCGCCCACCTTGCGCTCAAACTAAAGCTTCACTTGCCCAGCTTCCCAGCGCTCGTGGCTTCCCTCGTGTTTGTCGTTCATCCAATCCACACAGAAGCTGTACGTCCAGTGAGAAGAGTGAGGCGGGAGGGAAGGACGTGTTCATGTGTGTGTTGTGTGTGTGTGCGCAAACGTGTTGTGTGTGTGTGTGTTGTGTGTGTGACCGTGCGTGTGTGTGACCGTGCGTGACAGTGTGTGTACGACAGTGTGTGTGTGTGTGTGTGTTTCGTCTTGATCCTCACCTTGTGCAACTTACGCCATGCCACCACCCTGGTTCAGGTCTGTTCTGCTGTGGGCTTGGCAGAGGTGCTGTCTGCAACGTTTCTGCTGCTGGCATGGCTGACTTATCCACCGTAAGTTTGATTGGCTGTGTGTGTGTGTGTGTCTGTGCTTCTCTGTACACTTGGCTCACGCAGTCATGCGTGGATATCAAATGTACGTGCTCCGCTCAAGCATCCCTTCACCCGTTGACACACACACGCACACCCGCATACACACACACGCATGTATACGCACACCCACATACACACACACGCACACACGCACACACACACACACACACATACACACACATACACACACACACACACGCACGCACGCACACACACACATATGCACCCCCGACACAGTTCTGGCGTGCTGATGCCGAGATGGAAACGGGTGTGGCGGTTTTCGCTGTTTACGGCACTGGCCACGCTGGCCATGTTGTCGAAGGAGCAGGGCATCATCGTCATTGGTGTTGCTTGTGGCATTGACACCATCACCACGTGCAACACCAGCAACCCGCTGCTTGCCCTGTGGTCATTGCTCCCGCTCGCGTCAACGGCAGCCACTGACGCAGCCGGCAGCAAGAAGCTCAAGCGTCTCCAGCAACACGGCACACCCAAACACAGCAGCACCAAACTCAAACACACTACCAACACCAACAACACCACAAACAGCAAGGAAGGCAAGGTGACTGGTGCGACGACCAAGGCAGGCACAGGCATCAACACAGCGCGCCTGCAGCTGGTGGCGTGCGCCGTGGTGGCCGTGTGCCTGCTTGCGTTTCGCCTCGTCATCATGCATGGCCAGAAGCCGCCGTTCACCGCACACGAAATTCCAGCCGCATATGCGCCGACGTGGCTGTCGCGCGCGCTCACCATGAACTATTACGTTGCCTTCAACGCCAAGTCCCTTCTGTGGCCGTTGGGCCTGTGTCACGATTGGTCGCACAGCAGCATCCCTCTCATCACCTCATGGACGGATGTCCGCAATGTTCACACCGGCCTTGTTTACAGCTCCATATTGGCCATTGCCACCTGGGCAATGCGGACAACAGGTGTGTATGTGTGTGTTCGTACATGTGTATGTGTGTTCGTACATGTGTATGTATGTGTAGGTGTGGAGGTGTGTCGTTGTGTAGGTGTGTATGTGTGTTCGTACATGTGTGCGTGTGTGTGTGCATATGTGCAACTTTGCGTGCCATATCCTTCTCTGCAGTGGCCATCATTTACCGCTCGCAGCAGCACAACGCCTTTCTCATGCTGACACGACTCCCACCATATTTCCTCAATCACCCATCATCACCAGCACCGGCAGCACAATCTACATCACGCGCCGTCACATGCACACCGCAATTCTGGGCGGCGTCGGCGCTGCTGTATCTGATCATCGCGTTTCTCCCGGCGTCAAATCTCCTCTTCAACGTCGGCTTTGTCGTTGCTGAACGCGTTCTCTTCACTCCGAGGTGGGGGCGGGGCGGGGTTGTGTTACAGTGTGTGGTGTGAGGTGTGGTGTTTGCATTGTGCGTGCACTTTGTTAAGACTTCAAGGCACTGTTTTGCTTTAGTCAATGCCTGCGTTTATATCCACATGCACATACATACACATGCAGCACCTACCCCTCACGTTCCTCACACCCCTCACACGCCTCGCCGCCACCACCACATCCTCATCCCAGCCTCGGATTTGCTGTGCTGGTGGGGGTTGCGGCCCACGCTTTATCGTGTCGGGTACCGCGCTCTGTAGTCGCTGCCGGTGGTGTTGCTCTTCTTGCTTTCCTCGCCACTCTCACGCTCGCGCGCAGTGCTGCCTGGGCCAACGACTACACGTACGTTGTGTGCTTTGTTGCGTGTTGTGTTGTATTGTGTTGTGTACACACCCGTGCCTATGATGTGCCTGAACAGAGGGCAGGTGAAGGCGGAGTGAGCGAGCAGGCGCGTGTGCAGCTGTTGAAAGATGCTGAGTCAGCGTTTCTGCTGGCACTGAACCCGAACAGCACCGACGCCGCCGCAGAGCTCAACTACGGCATCCTCCTCAACGACCTGGTGTGCTGTGCTGTGCTGTGTGTGTGTGTGTGTGTGTGTGTGTGTGTGTGTGTGTGTGTGTGTGTGTGTGTGTGTGTGTGATTAGTGGTTGACAAGGTGTCCCTGAGAACAGAGGGGCATGGGAGTGCAGTGTCCTTTCGATAACGTTCTCATCACGCATCAACCTCACCACGCTCACGCTCGCGCTCACCACCACCGCCACCACCGCCACCACCACTTGCAGGGGCGGCATGCGGAGGCAGAGGCCATGCTGCTGCGCGGCGTCGCCAAGAACGACCCGACGCGCACATCTGTCCGTCTCCGGCAGCACCTCGGCGCTCTCCACTTCCACCAGCAGCGGGCCGATCGCGCCCACGATTTCTTCATGCAGGCGTGGCAGGTGATATGCATGATCAATGCGGTGGTGGTGGTGTGTGTGTGTGTGTGTGTGTGTGTGTGTGTGAGTGCTGTGGATTGTGTATGTGTATGCGTGTGTGTTTGCATTTGTGTATGTTCTTCAACACACCCGCAGCTGTGCGCTTCTGACGTTGTGACCCACCACCTCTGCGTTTCGTGTACATTTACGCACACTCACATTCACGTTCACATGCACACATGCACGCTCACATGCCCCACACACGCTCACATGCCCCACACACATACGCATGCACATATGCGCCGCAAACAGCTTGACAATCGGGATGCGAACACGGCCAACGGTGTCGGTGTTGTCTTTGCGACAGAGGACAACAACGAGGAGGCGAGCAAGTGGTTCAGGTGCGCTGGCAATGGATGGTGGTGGTAATGGATGGTCGTGGTAATTGCACGCTTGTGTATATGCACGGATGGACGCTGAGCCAGTTGGCAGTAATACATTCCATGAAACGTCACAGACACACATACGCACACATACACACATGCACACACACACGCACGTATCGCAACACCAGGCGCGCCGTGGATCTGAACCCCGACTACTCCAAGGCGCACTTCAATCTGGGAACAGCGCTCTTTCACCTTAAGCGATATGTACGCGCTGCACGCGACATGTGTTTTGGGCGCGCGCACATGTGTGTGTGTGTGTGTGTGTGTGTGTGTGTGTGTGTGTGTGTGTGTGTGTGTGTGTGTGTGTGTGTGTGTTCTGCTGCTTTTGGGGAAGCGCGGGCGGTTTGGCTTCATGATGACGCGCTCTCGCTAAGATGGTTGCGGCGACCTCCTTTTCATGTGCTCACGCTCCAGTGACACAATCACATACACTCATACAAACACACACACACACTCATACAAACACACACCACACACTCGCTCCTCTCCACCGGTTTGTGCTTGCCGTCAGGACGAGTGCCTGCATCACCTGCGTGAGGCTGTGCGAAGTGATCCATCATCCCCCGACGCCCGCAAGCAGCTCCAGGTCAGGGGTTGGTGTGAGAGGTGGAAGGGGGGAGGGATGGACCTGATGGAAGATGGAGCTCGTGATAGCTACACACACACACACACACACAATCACACACACAATCACACACACACAATCACACACACACACACAGAGCATATCCGAATGGCTGGAGAAGCAGAGCCGCAACGCCGCCAAGACACTGGTGTAGGCAGCCTGCATAATATATTTGTGTGCACGTATATAACCGAGAGAGAGAGAGAGAGACAAGGGGTGTGTGCATGAAACACTGTGCTTTTTATTGCTTGCTTGGTGCCCAAGGCTGTCGCGTAACTATTGGAATGACTGACATGAACGCAATGGAGTGTGTGAGTGTGAGTGTGAGTGTGTGTGTGAGTAAGCGTGCACACACACACACACACACACACACACACACACACACACACACACACACACACACACACACACACACACACACACACACACAAGCGCCCAACATCATTGCGACTGAATTCAGTCGTCAAGCCAAAACACGCCACACAACACGAATTGCGCACCTCCAACCAACAGCTCTCTCTCTCTCTTCCTCCTCACAATATTGCCACGCTGCTCCAACGACACAACGAACCAGCTCGCCAACTGCAATCCCCACTCCCTCCCTGTCCATCGCTCCCCATCGATTGATCGGTGGTGTTATTGCCACCCACAGGTGTACTGCATTGGGCTGGCTGAACAAGTGGCTGCCCCCCCACGCACACACGATCAAAACACAATTGCGGGTCTTCCTTCGCCTGTGGTCGTTGCGCGCTGCTTTGTTGTTTGTGTTTTGTGAGCTTTTGGTTGACTCACAAATCACACATTCGTTTGAGTCGACGGTTGGTTGCTTGGTCGGTTGGCCATTGACAAGCCATGATGCGGGTGGCCACGGCGACGGCCGCAATAGCGGTTGTCATGCTGGTGACTGTCTTGAGCGGTGCCCAGTCGCTGAACCTGCTGAACCAGTTTGTGCCGCACACCGAGAACGACATTGAAGGGTTCACACTTTTCTCCTCCAGCTCCAACGAAGGCGCAGAGAAGTGCGCCCAGCTCTGCCTTGCTAACGACGAGGTGAGCTGTCCTTCACATGCGCCTGCGACAACCACGGACCTCTGTTTGGGTTGTTGCCACTTGCTTGACGTGTTTACTTGCTTGTTGTATTGCTTGTGTGTTTCGTTCCTGGCCATCGCGTCCTGTTTTGAAACGAGCCATCACTTCTGCGTATTGGGACGCCCTCGCTTGCTTGCTTGCTGGCTTGCTTCCTTTGTCTTGTATTTGGTGCATCTTGTGGGTCATGGCTTCCCTTCACTCACACGCACCTAAACAAACAAACTAACAAACAAATGACATACAAACAAACAAACATACAAACAACAAACAAACACGCGTGCACCCTGCTACTCGCGTTTGCAGTGCAAGTCCTTCACGTTGTCCGGCGCGAGCTGCTACTACAAGAATGTGACCATTGCAGAGGCTGGCTCGGCCTATGTGACCAACCCAGACGCGCGTCTCTACGAGCGCCCTCGTGAGTGCTGACGAACCCGAACCGCTGTTGCAGATCAGAGCGTATGCTTTTGTGAATATGCCTGTGTTGTGCGTGTGTGTGTGTATGTGTGGATTGTGTGTGTGTGAGAGAGAGAGAGAGAGAGAGAGAGTGTGTGTGTGTGTGTGTGTGTGTGTGCTGCTCAAGTCCACTCGCCACACCCCCTCCACCAACCTGTGGTTGTTAACATCCGACACACATATACACACACACACACTTGTGTCGACGACTTCTCACCAGAGACGAGCCCGCCATCGCATGCCACTTGCGGCACTGGAGAGTTTGCCGCGCACGCGAACCACCCGAGCTGGACGCCGATTCGCTTCTTCAACGGCGAGGGCGACTGCGCATGGCGTATCACCGACGAGGGATACAAGGTGCGCCTCCAGCAGCTGTTTTGTGTGTGTGTGTGTGCGTGTGTGTGTGTGTGTGTGTGTGCGCGTCGTTTGTGTGTGTGTGTGTGTGTGTGTGTGTGTGTGTGTGTGTGTGTGT